TTTTTTCAAATCAAAATAGTGCAAAAGCACATGTCGAAAAAACACTTTATCGCGTTCCATTTTTCACAAAGCAAAAGAAATTGTTGTTTAGGAAAATAATTGTGTATGCTGACTGAATGTTATCGAGAAATGTCGAAATTAATCACAAACTACCTGTTTCGTTAGTAATGACTACTAGAACTGTTTGCATTGCCATCTAACATTTGCGGGCGGAAACTAAGTTAAGGTCCTAATACATATTTTATGCGTATGTAATGTTTGATAATGGGAAAGCAATAATAAGAAACGTTTAGACAGAAACGTTTATAAAATCATAATTTAAGAAGTGTGTTTAACGTTTCTACAGTCAAAAGAGCTTTATTTTTTCGATAAACTTCTTCGAAATATTTGTAACCAAGATAAACATATTTTGCATAAGTATTTTATGTATCTCTAATTCTCTTTTATTATATAAAATATTATATAATAACTATGAACAGTTTATTTTTATGGTTGTCCTAAATAATATTATAAGAAAATTATACTTTGTGCTTTGGCTGCATATGAGGATAATAAAAAACACTTAGTATCAATTGAGAAAATAGCGCTGCAACCAAGGTAGTAGACTAGGAACCTGAAGATGTCTGAGGTCTCTCGAGCGTTTGCGTCCGACCAGTACTGAGTAAATTTTCAGATGCGAAAATAGTAAGAAATCAAATAAAAAAGCTAAATTTCATTTAAAATCAATATAAGTTCATTAGTTACAATCGTTTCCGCAAGATATGTTGTTTTTTACATTACAACTCACGTCCTTATCACGGCTGTCTGAGCCGTAAAAAGACGTTTCTGAAACGTGTTTGTGCTACCTAGGATGTGAATTGACGTTATGGAAATATTTATTTAACATTATTCGAGAAACGTTATCACAGAATGTTCTAAAAACCAGGGTTGGGCACGTTACTTTTTAAAAGTAACGCGTTACCGTTACCGTTACTTGCGGTAAAAAGTAACGCGTTACCGTTATTTGAAAAGTAACGATAAAAAAGTCGTTACTTTCCGTTACTTTTGTAAAAAAAAAAGTTAAAATCGGCTTATAAAACGAATAGTAAGAGAGATAGCCCGATGAAAAATTTTTTATGCAAAATTATGTATGAAATTTGTCCATACATAATTATGTATAATTATATATAATCATATAAAATTATATATAATTATACACAATTATGTATAACAATATGTATAATTACATATAAATCTATGTGTAATTATGTAAAATTATATATGAATTTATATATATAATTATACATAATTATATATAATTACATATATAAGTAGAATATATAAACATGAATGGACAAATTTGATACATAATAATATATAATTATGTATAATTATATATAATTTTATATAATTA